GTGTCCAAAGATGCGCTTGGACAAAGGGCAGTAAGAGAAAGAAGGCGGATTGAGAGACCTGTGGAAATGGTTGGAAGATGTTGCAATGCCAGAGCCACTGCCACTGCCTCTGCTTGCACCTGTGACGTCTCTGTCCAGGCAGGCCTTCTCACCATTGAGGCTTTGACCTAGGTCCAGGTTTGGCACTGTGGGGACTGAGGCTTGCACGTTCCTTCCAGTGATGGCCAGGTTGGGGAGTGCCTGCTGTGTAAGCATGTCTCCTGGTGCTGTCTCCCAAGGAACAGGCATGAGAGCTATACAGGAAGAGGTGGCGAGGCTCCAAAGCATCCTCCATCATGAAGAGTTCATTGATTCAGTGCTGAAGGAGATATCCAGGACTGTGGAAGAAGACCTGCCAGAGGCAGCACTAGAAAAGAGAGAAGACATGGACTCCCAGGAGGTTGGAAGCTGGAAGCTTGTGATCTCTGGCAGCAAGCAGAAATTTCATCTGCACCTGCAGCAGTTCATCTGGAGAACAGATATGCAGCCCTAGCAACAGAGAGGGAGAAGCACGTTCCACTGGTGGAGGAGGACAGGCCAGGCCTCACCAAGGTGAGAAGGATCAAGACAACTGCCACCAAGAAGCAGTGATGGGGGGTGGTGGAGACTCCCTTTTGCAGGGGACAGAGACAGCCATCTGCCAACCTGACCTGTTGTCTTGGGAAACCTGCTGCTTGCCTGGAGCCCGGATCCAAGATGTCATAGAGTGATTACTGAGATTCATCCAGCCCTCTGACTACTAACCCATGTTCATCCAGGTGGGCATCAATGATACTGCCAGGGAAGACACTGAGCATATCAAAAGTGACTATAGAGCTCTGGGTGCAAGGGTAAATGGGACTGGGGCTCAGGTCGTGTTCTCTTTGATCCTTCTGGTCAAAGGAAAGGGCCCAAGCAGGAGCAAGTACATCCTGCAGATCAATACCTGGCTGTGCAGGTGATATTGTCATCAGGGCTTTAGCTTCTTTGACCATTGGATGTTGTCCCAAGAAGAAGGGTTACTGGGAAGAGATGGGATCCACCTGATGAAAAGCATCTTTACAGACAGGCTCACTAACCTAGTGAACAGGGCTTTAAACTAGGTTCACCAGGAGATGGAGACCAAAGCCCTGAGGTAAGTGAGGGAGTAGGTGACCTAAAGGAAGAGCAAGTTGGAGGCGGCAACAGGAGGTGTTCTCGTTCTTCCTGAGAAATCATGGCAATCGACTACTTACCTCAGATGCCTGTACACAAATGCACGGAGCCTGGGAAACAAGCATGAAGAATTGGAAGTCATTGCACAGTCACATAACTATGATGTGACTGGAATAACAGATTTGGTGGGATAGCTTGCATGAATGGACCACTGTCATGGATGGGTACAAACTGTTCAGAAAGGACAGGCGAGGAAAAAGAGGAGGAGTTGCACTTTTATGTAAAAGAGCCATAAGATTGCTCACAGCTCCAGTATGAAACTGGAGATAGGCCTGTTCAAAGTCTCTGGGTTAGGATCAGCAGGGAAAGCAACCAGGATGATGTTGTAGTGGGGCCTCCACTACAGAAAGGATGTGGACAAATTGGAGAAAGTCCAGTAGAGGGCAACAGAAATGGTCAGGGGGCTGGGGGACATGACTTATGAAGACAGGCTGAGAGGCTTATTTAGTCTAGAGAAGAAAAGGCTGAGAGGGGATTGAATAGCAGCCTTCAACTACCTGTAGTGGGGTTTGAAAGAGGATGGAGCTGGATTGCTCTTAGTGGCAGCAGATGACAGAACAAGGAGCAATTGTCTTAAGCTTCAGCAAGAGAAGTTTAGGTTAGATATTGGAAGAATTGCCTTACTAGAAGGGTAGTAAAACACTGGAATAGGTTACCCAGAGAGGTGGTGGAAACTCCGTCTTTGGAGGTTTTTAAGATCCAACTAAACAAAGCCTTGGCTGGGATGATCTAGTTGGGGCTGGTCCTGCTTTGAGCAGGAGGTTGGAATAGATGACCTCCTGAGGTCCCTTCCAATCCTAATTTATGTCTGTATTTTCAGAGACCCTTTAACAATAACCAGAGGCCAAAACATCTGCAGCAAAGTCCTTAAGTAAGTGGAGACTGCCACTGAAACATTCTCCTTAAGCAATTTGTGACTTCAGCTTAATCCCAATTTTTAAACTCAGCCTGAAGAAACATTTATTGAATGTGGTTTCAATATTATAGAAGTCCAAGTTCCAATTTTTGTGTGTGTTTTTTGCACAGCATACTGAAATATGGAAGGACACTGTACAAGCAGCATTGACTAAGTGTAAGCCAGTGAAAGTATTAGGATCTATTCACGCATTTGCCTCCAGTTATTGCACATTTTCAAGGGATCACAAAATTTACTGGTTTCAGGAAGGAAAGAGGAATCAACAAATTCTGACTTCTCAGAAGTGCCATTAAGTCTCATGGAGGCCCCAAGCAGAAGCTAAGAAATGGGCCCCTACCTACCCACACATACTTATTAGATACCTTGCACTAACTCAGTCTAGTGAGGCTTCAACCATTAAACCACCTCTGCAAGCAGTGAGGAATAAACTGGAATTATCACTGGATTACGCCAATGTTATTTCATGCCCATTTATAATTGAACTTTTATACACAATTAAATATAGTTATTAAAGCTAGAGACAGACATTACACATAAACTGGTTTAAGTGATCAGAAACTGGTTTAAACCTGTAACAGAACTAACATTCAGTGCGCATAAACGAGTTTCAAAATGGCTGAAATCAGTTTGAGATAAACCTGTTGAACGTAATAACAGACTTAACTGACTGAGCTCAAACCACTTTATGCAATGTCTGTCCCAGAACCCTTCCTTTTTTTAAGTTAAAACCAGAGTCCTCCAGCACCCCAGCATGCTTTCTGGGATGGGCTTTGCTCTCTGCTCTCTGGCCTGAGAAGAGATAGGACATGGTTAGAGCAGGGGGAATGTTAATTCTTCGCTCCTCCCCCATTGCAGCCAAGGTCTGCCTGTCTGCCAGGGAGCAGAAGGGAGGGGGCTGTGGCAGTGGCCCTGGGGCTGGCTGACAATTAACCCTTCTCCCCTTCACCTGAACTGGGCCATACGGGGACAGGCATCTGGCCACGTTCCCACCACTGGAGCAGTGAGGGGATGGGGAGGGACATAAGTACTAAGGCTGTGCGAAGCTTCAGTCCCCGATTTGATTCGGTGGAGATTTGGCCTGATTCAGTGGCTGAATCTCTGAATCTGAATTGAATCAGAGGACCCTTTAATCTCTCCGAATGGAATCGGAACCCTCCAAATTGATTCGGAGAGATTCAGAAAGATTCAGAGATTTGTACATAGACATAGCTTTAAATGTTTTTTCTACATACCTCTAGGTAGCAGGGGCTTGTGAGTGCTGTGATGCTGGGGTGCATGGAGTGTCCCACAGAAGCACAGGGGGCTCCCCAGCACACTTGGCTACAGACCCGGAAGTGGACCAGAAGCACTTCCAGTCCACCAGGGAGCATGCTGGGGGCCTCCTCTTACACCCGTGGCTTGGTGACTTGGGCCTCCTGGGTCTGGGGGAGGGGGCACCCAGGGTCCCCCCACAGCAGATCACTGAGCTGGGAAGGCGTGGGGGGGGGGAGACAGTGTGCTCCCTAGCAGACCTGGAAGTGGATCAAAAGTACTCCCAAGTCCACTTCCAGGTGCACTGCTGAGCACGTGGAGGGCCTCCCCACACACCTGTGGGACATTCCATCTGCCGCAGCATTGCAGTGATCACAAGCCATGCCTGCTACCTGAAGGTCTGTAGAAAAAACTTTTAAAGATGTGCCTATGTCTGAATCGCCGATTCTCCGAATCAGCATCGACTCTTCAGATTTGGATTCAGCCAAATCAAATCAGGGACAGCGATCTGAATCAACAAATTGAATCACTGTCCCTGATTTGGGCCAAATCTGAATTGAATAGGACCCACTTCAAACACCCCTAATAAATACCCTCTAAATGTCAGAGTGCCCAGGAGGGGGTTTATTCCCCCCTCCCCTCCCTGTCCCACTGGCAGGAACCGCAGCCCTTCTGGCATGGACCCATTAAGGTTAAGAGGGCAGGAAGGGAGTTAATTCCCACCCCCCACTGGGTGACTGCAGCTGGGACGAAGCAGCCCCCCTCTGCCCTGCACCCCCACTGCCACAGGGAAGGGGGGGAGGCTCTATGCAAGGCTGCCCAGCTACAGAGGGGGACTTCCACCTGTCCTCCCCTGCCACTGCGAGGAGGCAAGGAGACAGGGGGGCTCTATGCAAGGCTGAGGGGGACTCTTGCCCCCCAGTTGCTCCCCTGCTGCTGCGGAACGAGGCAGGTGGCTCTATTCAGCACTGGGGGGGTACTCTTTCCCCTCCTCCTCCTCCCTGTGCTGCCACGGGGCAGGGAGGGAGTGCTCTGTGTGGCACTGCCTAACCCAACCCAACCCAGCCCAGGCCAGCTGGGACACGGGGAGTGGCTGTAACTGAGCTGCAGCTGCTTGGGGTGGCCCTGCCCCCATGGCCCAGGCCAGCCTCGCTCATCCCCAGCTGAGGCTCAAAATCTTGCTCACCAATCCATGATGGACATTGCCAAAGTTTCTGAAAAACAAACTATTGCACGTGCATGTAAATCCGTTCTTCAAAAAAATGCTATGCATGATTCAGAGAGCAGGAATATACCCTAAATTGTTCATTTTAGACAGAGCCCTTGACAACATTCACTTTGACTTGTATTAGTTTTAAGGTGTTTAAACCAAAAAGCCAGTGGACAGTGTTGTTATTTCAGGCGGCACACTTCTAAAAATTCTACTTGCAAAGACTGCCTAACATGGCTGGGTTCACTTCATGACTAAGAAAACGTCCAAACCCTGAATTAGAGGCCACTGGATGGCCTCACAGACTCAGAAATGGTTAGGGAAAACACTACTTTTCTGTTCTGAAACAACTTGCTGCGTAGCATGATTTGAACTTTAAGGTCACATGATAAAACCATAGGTTTGCTAAACATGCAACGTGTATGGGTTGAATTACTTAAAACAGTTTCTGTTTTCTCTGCAGAACTGTAGGCTTTTGTAGTCTTAGTGTGCCTGTGATATTAGCTTGCTATACAGCAGCTAAAGAAGTGACTGTAATACACCCTCATGATCTGCTTCCTGCATAAATAAAAAGGGTTATTTCCTCCAAACAGTAATTATATTTCATCTGACTATTCACGGCAAAAGTCTCAGCCAGTTGCATCTCTGGAACATTTTCTTCAAGAGGTAAGTTTTATATTTCTTTAAATATGTAGATTACCACTAGAGGATCAAAGCTCTTATTTTAAAATCTTTTTCTTTTCACTCAATATTTGGACTCTACAAAGCACTATGAAATACCACATCTGGGACATGTTTTTATAAAGTTGATATTTATTTATAGAACTGGGTCCAAAATAGAAGTAAGATTAGTATTTTCACCAAACAAACATTTAAAGAGTAAGGCCGTAGTCTCAAAAAGTATTTAGGTGCCTAACTGCAACTGAAATTAACTCCTATTAAAATATCACACTGGAATTTGATATTTTTGATATCTAGAGTTTTACTTCCAGATGCACTTTGAGGGTCTGGGCCTTACGGATGAAGCCTTAACCTTGGAAGCTAAATCCATTCTCTTGATGGACAGGCATTATCAAACATTGCAGAAAAAAGCATCAACAGCGCAAATTAAAATCAATATTGTCATTGTTGCTTTATATGCATTTGCATAAAAGTATAAAGTTTCAATTTAATATAAAGTGGTAACTTTTTAGAGCTAAGAGATCTGGTTCCTAGAACATTTACAATTTCAAAACTAAAAGAGCCCTATGACAGTTTCCATTATCACAACATGTAAGAGAGAGATAAGTAGGTGATGTTTTAAATGTTATCCTCGTACAGTACTTCAACTAGAGCCTGTGATAAAAAATGTATGGTTTCTCTTTTTTTCATAGAAGAAAGGAAGGATGATCTGAGCAAGCTTTATTTAGAAAGTCTATGCTATGGGGCTCTGAAGGGTTAAAACTGCATATGCAGGGCACCACAAAAATCTTATGAGTAAAGCTACGTGGTTGGATTAAAGGAAATAATTTCATAGTAACTGGTGAAAGACGACAGCCGCCCTGCTAAGCTTTTAGATGAAAAGATGTTTGGTTGCTAAGGAAAATAATTCCTTAATTTAGGGACACCCCTTAGAAGACCATAAACAAGTGTCAGTTTCTAGTTACATCTAGTTCAAATGTTGGATAATTAAATCACCAAACTGATATTAAAAAATGCAGTTAGAGTCCAGGCTCTCTCAAGACATATACCCCCACTTAAAGCTCTTAACTTTTTGCAGTCCTGCATTGTCTTCCCTGAACCATGGTGAACAGCTCTGCTCCGTGTTGGCTGTGAAGGGTAATTTATCTAATGGCGTTCAAAGGATGAAAATCAAACATGTTTACCTTCCCTGCCATCACACAAATCATAACAGAGCAGAATATAATAAAATAGTGAGAACTTAAAGGAATGGGAAGGAGAAACTACATGAAGAGGGAGGAAGGAAGTGCATTAACAATGGTGTTAAACTATGATGACCTAAGTACAAACAAGGGAGGGAAATGAAACAATCTAAAGAGCAGGGGAGAGAGAATAGATGAGACAAGAGAATGAAAGCCGATACCAGCAACATCTATTAAGGAGATTCTTGTGACTGTGGCACAGGTTATGAAACACAGAAGAGAAGCTACTGAGTCTATGCTCTGCCCCACTCACCATTTTGTGACTTGGAACAAGCCCTGTACAATGTCTAGGGCTTCTGGTCCCCTTCCGTAAATGGGAGTAAAATTGCTACCTACCTGGCACAAAGGGATACTGGGAGGAAAAATGTGATATTTGAAAGCCGTATATTCTGGGGGCATAAAAAAAGATAATAAATTGATAAATGAAATGCAACAAACAGGAAAAGCATAACCCTTGCATCTGTATGGAAGTACACTGCAGGCCAGTGAAGTAAGCCTTTGCCATTGTAATGCAGAGGGTCAGTGACAACATTTTAGAACTCCAAAATTTAGCAGAAGAGAGAAAGAAGCCTGACATTTTGTGTCTTTTTCATAATGGGAACTCTAAAGGCATTTTGACCAGCTTTAAAGCCTGCTTGACTGTCTGGAGCTTTTGGAAGGGGAAGAAAACAAAGTAAGTACCCTCAAGCATTCTGCTCCCTCTCAGACAAGATTATTCACTTCAAGTCCGATAAGTATCAAATGAGAAGATTTATGGGAATCTTCAATGATTTTCACCTTATTTTAACAGAGGTGGTGTGTAAATTCTTAATCCCAGCTGGAAATATTATCAGGATGTAGAACACAGCAGCATGGATTCCCTCCCTAAAAGCTTCTGATCAACTAGCCTAAAGCTTCTGCATGCTATTAGAGGATCTATGGATGCTCTCACAGTGCATCTTTACAAGGTGCCCTGGGGTAGGGAGGGGGGTGCTTTAAGTAGTGCGGCTCCAGGAGCCACTCTAAATCAAGCCCCCACAGCACCAAGCGTCTTCAGCAGGGCTTCTTTAACTAAAGCTCATTTCATGAGCACCTGCTGCCATTTTGAAGCATGGGGAAGCTGAATACACATGACGGGGCGGTTGCTAGAGCATGCTATTTAGCTCGCTCAAGCAGATTTGATTAATCAAGTCTGCGCCAATGCCTGGAACAGACATCTGGCATGTGTATAGGTGCCCATACTGCAGACCAAAGGATGAGGCACACCTTATAAAGATGCCTTCTTGAGTTACAAAATGGTTTTGACTTCAGTCTTTAAAAGTTCTGCTCATCTCAGAAGAATAACTATTTATAAAATAATATACACTAAGACAAGTCACTGGTTAAAAGCTAAAGCAATGAGTCAGCTACAGAGATGACAAAACACTGTAGCAAATTCCCAGCTCCTGTAACCCATGCATATAACTTACGACCCCTTGCCGCTATCTGTAACTTGTATTTCTTAATCCAAAAGTACTCATTGATCAAGTTCCTCTTGTAAGAACGTACATAAGGGCAGGTCTCAAGAAATCAGCTGGAGTTAGAGACTTGGTACCTAAAATACTGTGCGCTTTTCTAGACAGAACTCAAAGAAGACAAGACAGCTAATGTGACCTTAAAATTCTGGTTCTACCACAAACCTTTAAATTGCATTAAGACAGCATCAAGTGTTTATGCATTTATTCTCCTGGGGTGCACAACATGCAAGCAACACTCACAGTGTGTACTAATGAACCATATTGAAGATGTAAACAGTTTGTTCTTTTAGTAATAATATCCTGCTGTAGTGGAGGATGCTAGGGTGTTTTCCTGGAATTTTTCAGAAAGGTGCATTGGCAGGATAATAGAAGGAAACACTTTGGCCCTGTCTTCATGCAAAAGGATTCCCCGTCACACTAAATTTTAATTGTACAAGTACAGCAGTACAGGTAAAACCTCCCTACGTAGGTCCTCCTGTTAGAGTACATGTAGCTTACTGAAGTTTAACTTATATTCATTCCCTGGCGGCATAAGCAAAACTGAAAATAGGAATAAGACTGTCTAGCAACACTAGTATTACATCAATTTTAAACTGACACTTCGGGTTATCCTGAAAACAAAAAATACCAAGTTGGCAAGACCTGTTCTAGCCTTTACCCGTTTCTGGCAGGTTTCTCGATAAGCATGACAAATGAGGCCTAAAACAGGTTGATAATGGGCTGTTGGTATTTATGAGAGAAATACATTAGCTCCTTAGAAATGTCACTGTGCACAACAGTAGCAGTCAACTCAGGAATCAAGAGGATGAAGCTTAATGGGTAATAAATTGCAAGTTTCACCGCTTGCTGCTATATCTAACCTTCTTTGTCTAGCTGGCCTTGCAGCTTGGATATTCTGAGGAGAGTTGTATGAAACGTAAAATTCCCTTGGCTGTGCTCAGAAGTTGGAGCTAATCATCAGTACCAAGGCTAGATCCTGAACAAGTTAAAACATGCATTTCCACCTCCATTGTTGTTTCCATAGTCTGATGCAGGCCAGCGTCATTTCTAGTGAAATCCCCAAACATTCTTGCTGCCAAACCAATATCACTGCAAAAAGGAGGCTGTTGCAAAACTACTCTGCGATTCCATGCAAGGGAACTTGAAGCCATCACTTAACAGGTTAGGCTGGCAGCTTGAAAGGGGACGAGGAAACATTTACAAAGCCAAAGCTAACTACTAATGTTCAGTTCTGTCCCAAAAAACTGACAAGAGTGGATGAAAATATCAAGTCTCATAAATGTTTCCCAGCCTGCCACAAACAATGTGAGAGACGAAATCTGAAACAAGTGACAGTTCCCCTCTGTGAGCCCAGTGCCTCTTTGCTGCCTTATGGTCTAGACCAGAGGTTCTCAAACTGGTCCGCGGACCACCACTGGTCCACGAGCTTCATTCAGGTCCACAGAAAGGTGTCCTAAGGCTAAAGCTGACAAACATTACACCCAACTTCCCAGAACTTTGCTCAAAAAACAGGCACATCCATCCCATTAGAAAGCCAAGACAACTGATATTAAAATATGAGGTGTGTGCTTCGATTTGTAGAACAAACAAAAAAAATAAAAAAGTTTATTAAGTGGTCTGCTGAGACCCTCAGCAATTTTCATGTGGTCCATGAAAAAAAAGTCTGAGAACCACTGGTCTAGACTCTTTTATTCATACCCCTTCCAAAGCTCTCATATGAGGTTAAATTTGCCAGAAAGTCTATCCTTTTGGAGGGTCCAAGATTTGATCTATTTAAAAATTGTCATTAATGTGTTTTATATAGAGAATGTATAGGGAAAGCAATGGGGAAAACTTATTTCATGGCCTTTGAGGATTATTCTCAGGCAGAAAAATGTGGGGTGGGGGGGAGAAGGAGGGGAACCTGGAGAGGAGAGGAGATGGGTACTGTGCTACAGGGGACTGGCACACAGTTAACAGCTATGAGAAGCTACTGTATGTGTATGCAGGCCAACAAAAGGGAACTGCAAAGCCAAGGGGATAGCACGGAAACCATTTGCTTCTACGAGAGGAATAAATTCTGGATTTCTTTGCTGCAGTATTGCCCAGTTGGTAAAACAGAAAGAAAAACAAGTCACCCTGTGAGCTTAGCTCATTCTTCTGCTGAGCAGGAACAGAAGTTAAACTTTGCTCCTCAAACCCTTTTCCTGCAGCAGAACTTCCCCAAAACCAGAACATCCTGACATCAAAATCTAGGAGGTAACAAACC